TTCCTCGTAAAATCCTAGTCACATTACGAGGAAAAGCTTACGTCGATTTTACGAGGAAATAACCAGTCCCGCGTTTTCACCTCACGAGGATTTACGAGGAAAAAGCTTACGTGGACTTTACGAGGAAACAGCCTTACGTGGACTTTACGAGGAAAACGGCTTACGTGGACTTTACGAGGAAATAACAAGTCTCGTGTTTTCACATCACTAGGAATTTACGAGGAAAGATTTGTATATCCCAAAAATTTGAAACCACAAACCCTAAACCCCAACTTCCATCACTTATACCTCTACATTTTTTCTAAACCCCAAATCACAACTTCCCAAGCTTCCATTTCATTTTCGTAATTAATTGTCTTAAAATTATTAATATTAAAAACTAAGATACATCATTGCCATACAACATCATTCGGAAACAGCATTGCCATTCTCGGCATCATCACTAGAAACATCATCATCGTAAAAATCGTCTTCAACAGCTTCGTCCGTTGTATGATCCGGGACATCTTCGTATTCACGATTATACGGATCGATGAGTAGGATTTCATCAATTTGTGCTTCAGGTTCTTCGATTTAATTGGTGTTTTCCTCTTGTAATGGTGGTTCTTCTCCAGCAATTATTCGTCCACGAGGTGTAACTTTAATAACAGCTAACCAATTTATTCCTGAGGTTGTCATCCGAGGGTATGGAATAAAGCAAACTTGGTCCGCTTGTGAAGCGAATATGAAAGGCTCGAATTTGTTGTACTTTTGTCCACCATTGACATCAACTACACCGAATTTGTTAATCCGAACACCTCTGTTAACAACGGGGTCGAACCACTCGCACTTGAAGATGACGCATTTCAGTTTCAATAATCCTGGGAATTGAACTTCATAAATCTCCTGCAAAATCCCGTAGAAATCTGTTTCGCCTTTCACACATATTCCATAATTACTTGTCGCCCGGTGACTACCATAGTCATAAGTATGATAAGTATAGCCTCGTGTGAAATACATTGATGATGTGGTGACTTTTGCAACTGGACCTTGAAGTAATTCGTGAAACTATGCAGGATAAGCGGGATTGTCATAATCAACCTGCAAAAAAATCACATTTACTTGAAATTAAACTTACTATCAAGGATGTATCATAAAACTTTAAGTTATAATACATGTTTCCTCAACCACTTGATAAAATGTTGATCTTTCCTTGTGATTAACTCAATTGGCGATATACATAGGATTGGTTCTCCGACTTGAGTCACAAATTCGCTGTAAAATTATGTTATGTTAATTAATCAATTGAAAATATATAAGTGTGTATGAACGTGTTTATATGTTTACGTTTCAAAATAACGAATCAAGGGATTCTCGCAATTGAGAAGAATATAAATGTGTGCACTATGGATGTCTTCATCACTCGACCACTAAACCTCCAATTTCCCATCCAATCGCCCAATTTTACAAAAGATGTCTGGAACATATTTTTCCATATATGTCGGCACGACACCACCATCATCATATCTTCTTGGAGCTCGTTTCCATGTACCTACTTTCGGTGCAAAGTAGTACGATGTGAAATGTGATGTTTCTTCCGTCAAACTTCCCGCAACAATAGAACCTTCAAATTTTGCGAGGTTTTTGGCTTTTCCTTTTATAAGTTTCATGGCCCTTTCATACTGATACATCCATCCGTAATGTACAGGTCCACGAAGCAACGCTTCATACGGGAGTTGGACAACTAAGTGCTCCATGACGTCAAAAATGTCGCGAAAATAGTTTATTCAAGTTGCAGATTAAGATGGGGATGTTCTCATGAGGTTGTTGAACAACATCCTCTTTAAGAGTGCGTGTGCTCAGATCCCTGAAAAATGCTCAAATTCCTTATATATTACAAAAATTAAACACATTACTATAATCATATTTATATGTACATATATATAAAGAAATTAATTAATACTTGCGTATTATATTACCTGCAAGTGCTTCATGTACTTTTGTTGGTAGTAGCTATGCAAATGCAAAGGGAAGTAGTCATTGCATAAAGACATGACAATCATGGCTCTTCATCCCGGAGAACTTTTGATCTTTCTCAACACATCTTGAGAGATTTGAAACATACCCATCAGGAAACTTCACTTCTGAAGCCACCGAGTTGAACAACACTGACTTTTTTTCTGATGACAGTCTGAATATCGGAACTGGAACTTTCCCATTGCTTTTTATATGTAACTCACTTCTTGATCAGATATCGGGTAAGTCCAACCTCTATTTTACGTTGTCTTTCGTCTTCCCTAGGACATTCAACATAGTGTTCACGATGTTCTCAAAAAATTTCTTCTCTATATGCATCACATCGAGGTTGTGGCGCAAAAGAAGATCTTTCCAATATGGCAACTCCCAAAATATACTCTTCTTGTGCCAATTGTGCTGAACACCATAATAATCTGGCATATTACTGGGAACATGCCAATTACCACCACGAGGAGCTGTTTCTAGTTCACAGTAGTAATCAATTTGCGCTTCAATTTTTTCTCCAGTTAAATATGGAGGAGGAGTGTCTCTGACCACTTTTTTGTGTCTGAAAAATGTCTTGTTTTTCAGTATGGGTGATAAAGTGGAAGAAATCGACGGTGACAATCGACCAAGTTGTCTTCCTACCATTCTTCAACTGAAACGCATCTGTCATTCCATTGAAATATGGACAAGCTAATCTCCCATGTGTAGTCCATCCAGAAAACATCTCATATGCAGGAAAGTCACTTATGGTCCACAAAAGCATCGCTCGCATTGTAAGATTCATTTTTCGTTGAACAATGATATGTCCTTACCCCTGTTGACCACAAATATTTCAAGTCTTTTATCACTGGTAGTAGAAAAAATCGAGAGATCTTTTTAGATGCTTTGGACCAGGTATTAATATGGTCAAGAATAGAAACCCTCGTCGCATGCACATCTTCGGTGGCAGGTTGTACGGCGTAAGAAAGACTGGCCACAATGAATATTGTCTCCCAGACATTCCAAATGGACTAAATCCATCAGTGCATAATCCAAAATACACATTCCGGCTATTGCGAGTGAAATGTGGATGTACATTGTTAAAATGTTTCCAAGCTTTTGCATCTGATGGATGAGTCAACTCCCCATCCGTCTGAGTATGCTTGGCGTGCCATCTCATCCCTCCAGCAGTCTCCTCAACAATCTTTTCAATCTGTCTGTGATTGGTAGGTACCACATCCTTTGGTACGGTACCCTATTATGTCCTCGTCCTTGCGGTTTGAATCGTGGCTTCTTACAGAATCAACATTCTTCTAACTGCTCATCATCTCCCCAGTAAATCATGCAGTTGTCGATGCAAACGTCTATCATCTCCGAGGGCAACCCAAGACTATAAACCAATTTTTGAATCTCATAATAAGATTCAGCAGATACATTGTGTTCTGGCAAATACTCTTTAAACAAATCTGCCCATGCATCCATGCAATTTTCAGGTAGATAGTGATCAGTTTTAATACTCATCATTCTAGCAGCTGACGACAATTTAGAGAGACATTCTCTACAACCATTGTAAACTGGCTCGTTTGCAGCTTCTAATAATGCATAAAACTTTTTTGCATCTAAGTTAGGTTCTTCAACTTCATCATCATGAGTTACAAATGTATCACCTACCATATCATGAACCCTATCACAATCTACCATTTGTTCCTCCTGGTGATAACTATTTTCATTATGCAAATGATCAACGACCAGTTCATCCTAAAAATTGCTATTACTACTGTTACCTTCATTCCTACAACTATAATATTTTCCATGTTGATACCAAATATAGTATTGTGGCATGAAACCTCTTTAAATACTTCCAAACATTTTCACGAGGGCCTAATTTTGTATTGTTGCATTTCCGACAAGGACAGAACATCTTACCGCTTTCATGCGTGAGCGGTGTAGAATCTGCTTGATACAGAAATGTCTCCAACCCTTCGAGAAATTCTTTCGTCATTCTCTCGTTATTATCTCTGTGTGTATACATCCACCTCCGTAGATCGAAAATATTTCCAAGACCGGACATTTTTTTTTCTTTAAGCTTATAGCTGATTGTTTTTTGGTGTGTTTGAAATGAATCGGTCGTATTTATAGAAATTTTTGATTCGGTAGATAGATATTTACTAGGAATTTACGAGGAAAAGTAGGTACAACACACAATTTTAAATTTAAAATAAACAAAGCCTTGCTATTTTCTCATTAAATCACAGTTTAAATTTTCCTCGTAAACTCCTAGTTAAGCTTGACTAGAAGTTTACGAGGAAACCAGAAAGCCACGTAGTTTCCTTGTAATCGTACTAAAACTTTACGAGGAAATATTTTTCTCGAGACTTTACGAAGAATTTACATGGAACCATTATTTCTTCGTAAAGTCCTTGTAATCTCATCGTAATGTTACGACGAAACATTTTCCTCGTTAATTTTCCTGGTAATTTTTCTGGTTAAGAAATTGTTTTCTTGTAGTGTTCTAAAATCAGTGGCACGCAAAGAGAGATGAGCTTTTTTCTTATTTTTCTTTTTCTTTTCTGTACAAAGAAATTTTAGCCATTTGAATTAGTTTTCTTTTATGTTTTACCAATTAACAAAATATCTCCAATGACTAATTCATCATTGTCCATAAATTATGAGTTCGAATCTCTATTTTACATAACCTTGTTTTAGTATATAAAAGTCCAAAACATATGCAGTTTTGATAATATATATATATATATATTATATGTTATATATATATATATATATATATATATTAATTTTACAAAGTTAAACGGAAACTTAACTAATGAAATATTAGTTTTAGCTCGACTTTCTTTCTTTTTGAAAAAAAAAACTGATATACATAAATTTTATGATTTCCAAACTCTTTAACCGGAAATAGTCACTATATTTACCAACTCTTTTAGATTTGAGTTATAAACTTAGTCAGTATATTTACCGTTTTTGTTCTTACAAACATACCAAAATATTATATGAAGAGATCATCAGAAGAAAAAATGATCTAGGTGTTGTCGAAAGAAAAAATGACCTTGGTCTCTAAAAACGTTCGCACGGATTTTTATCGGTGGTTTATATTGATTAAGCCCATGGGCATGAGCATGACACATCACACGGGTTACATAATAAAATTTATTTCATAATCAACGAAACAACTAGACTGACTGACGTTTTGTTCTTGCAGCTAGCATGCTGCGACACATGATGTGCATATTTTTCAAACAATGTATCGATATTAATGGCATCTCCAAAGTGAGCTACAAGCATCGATTCAGTCACTGCTCTTATGCAATTAGCTTCTTTTCCCCCTGTTTTAGCTCTAGCTGATTGCAAGCCATAATCTTCGTTACTAAGGCCGAGATCAAACATTTGTGTCTCCAAGTCGTTTACCATGAATGAACCCTCATTTCTAATAATTTCTTTCATTTCTTCTTCGTTTGGATCATAAAACGGTACTTTGAACGAATTCACCTTTGATGCACTCAGAAGACCCTATACAAAGATCAAAATAAAAGTATATATAGATCATTGGGATTAACCATCCGTGTACATTAAAAATATCACAGAATGTGAATATCTAATAATTTTATTACCTCGGAGACTAGGTCAGATAGAGAATCAGATAACAATGTCAACCAGTGACAACAATCCCTATATCGTGGGTCATCAAGTGTCTTTCTGCCGATTAATGTGAGAACCATGCGTCCATTAGATACCATCTCTTCAGAGCGCATTCTTAGAAATGTCGTAAAATCTGTCTTGAATTGATTCATGTAAGCCTTGTGGTCACTTGAAGGAGTTGAACTTGTTATGTACAGACTCATCTTGTTCTTCTCCAGCTTGTCCGGAACCTTATAAGACCAAAATTCCATTGTTATAATTTTTGTACTTATAAAGAATTTTGAATGTCTATAAGTAGAAAAATTATTACTTATGATACCTTAGAGAGGTAATGAAGACTGTAATTTGAATGAACGAAATGGAGACTCTTGCGAGGAAAGAGCCTTGAGTAAAAAGAACCAGGAACTCCAGAGACAAAGCATGGTTTTTTGCTTGTGAGCTTATCGTTGAAGAAGGTTAGGAACTTGAAAGTTGTGTTGAAATCGTTATTAGGGAGATCGTTCAGACAACAATCTATCTCTGGCGGGTTTTGGTTCCATTCTTGACACAATAGATTAATTGTGTTAACTATTTCAGACATCACCAAGAACGTGTTTTGTCCTGAAGAACAACCCAAATCGACTAGTTTAATGCATTTAGGAAAGTCCAAGTTTGTCATCATTTCTTTAGTGTTTTTAACCAGGATGGGTTTGGTCATTGATAAAACTCTTCTCTGCAGAAAACAAAGAAAGTGGCAACTTTCTAAATATTATAATTTACGTGTAAACATAGATAACGAAATTAGATTTCAAATCTGTTGAAGTCTGAATAGTTTGAGATAGAAAATATTATATTTGGTTACATTAATTATGTGAAGATGAAAATTATATAATATATATATATATAGATGATGAAAGAACCTGAAGAACGGAGTTGGTGGAGTAGCTATTGTGTCCATCCCCTCCACGCATACTCAAAATACTCACAAAAGGGTATTGACTAGTCTCTTCATCGCATTTATTCATTTCATTTCCACTCTTCCCATCACACCTGCATCGATCACATGTATAGACAATATGATACAATAGTAGTTAACTGCATACATCCATATTGTCAAATTAGCATATACAATCATGTAATATGAAGATGAGGAAAAAAAATATATGAAGATGAGTTGGTGGGAAGAACCTTGAGGAAGAGATCGAACGGATGAATCTTGAATCCATTTCGCGAACTATTTCAAGAAATTAATTAAATATGAGAACTATAACAATGTGATATGTTTTGTGAGGGAGTCTGCCCCTTATTCACCTACTTTATAAATAGAAGTGGGACATGTCTTATGTGAAACACACCAAGTTGTTTCCACATAAAATCCTTTCAAATCTGTAAGTCACTATGGTGATGATTGGTTCTACTGTACCTATAAAAATTTAGCTATAAAAGTTTAGACGTAGGTAAGTTGGTTGTAAGTATATTTTTTTGCAGAAACTTTTGTTGTAATTAAATTTGTTTTAGCTATAAGTTATAGGCTATTGATATTTTAAAATAAAATATGTGAAATATATGATTTATACATAAAACAATTAGTTTTATCAATTAAAAAAATTATATTAATATTCTTACATAAATTATCAAAATTTATTTAAAATGTGTTAGATATAAATAATATTTATGTCTTTGATATTTCAATAATTTAGAAACCACAAAAATAAATTAGAACATTTATAGATATTTTTTTTATTATGATTATATAATTTATTTGATATTATAGATAATTTTTTTTTCATTTCACAGAATTTACAGCCTAAAAGAAAGATGTAAAACTTTTACCTAAAATATATTAGAAAAAAAATTGTTTTAGTTTTTTTTGATGTAAGTTAAAAATAAAGATAAAGTATGATTGGTAAAATTTAGAACTATTTACTCTGAAGGACACAATCTCAGTTTCTAATTACACTAACATACACTTCTCCTATTGACACACATTCCTCTTGTCTATTTACCTTAATGTCCTCTAACTAGAAACAATCTCACTTTAGTTAACTTGCGGTCTTCTTTTTTGTTTAGTAAGATTTCAATTGGTTAAAAAAAATTGACAAGATTAAACGTGACCTTACATCTTCCATTATCTTTTAATCTAGATCTAAAAACAGAACCAAAGAAAATCTAGATCTAATGTCAGAACCAAAGTAAATCGACTCCCCACATGATGTTTAGGAGAAACAGAACCCTAGACTCGATTGTTCTTTCTCTCCTCCGCCATAGTCTCTCTCGGTAATCCGTTTTCTCTTTCTCACAACCACCCTCGTCCCTCTCGATATCCGCCGTCGTCTCTCTCGATATCCATTGTCGTCTCTCTCGTTATCACCCGCCGCTTCTTCTTCGCCGTCTCAGTCCATATTCACCGTCTCTCTCCATTTACCCTACATGGAAGGTGAGATCCCAATTTCAAATGGGATTACGCTAGTCTCTTTCGTCTTCCGGTGAAATCATATCTCTTTCGATCTTCTTTGAATCTTCCATCTAAACATTTCTTGGAATCTTTTTTCGATTTCACAGAGAACGCAGAAGACCACCGCCTCCCGGAGAGACTTTTCGTAGTGATAGATTCCCCAACCTACGTCTGAATATCTACTCGAGACCGAACACCCTAGCCTTCCTCCGCCATGTTCTTCGTGGTTCTCTTGAGCTTAGTAGGATTAGAGATTCGCCTTTCGGGAAGCTGTTCGATCTCCCAACCCGTTAGTGCCCTGTTTCATGTAAGCTCATTCAATCTCTTCTGACCCGTTAGTTGGTTTGCAGTCAAGACTACACTCTGTGGTCTGTGTTTGGACCAGACCCCATTAGATTCGGCCTTGAAGAGTTTGGGATTATAACTGGTCTTAACTGTGGAGAATTCCCAGAGATTTATGAAGCAACCGATCATAATCTCGAGAGCGCAAAAAAACAAAAGGATGCACACAAATATCCTTTTTGGCGAGTGATAATTGGGAAATATAACAACGTCACCTTTGCGGACTTAGCAGAAGAGCTCCAGAATGATCCTCAGATGGATGGTTGGAGGCGAATCCGGCTTGCCCTCATCAATATCGTTGATGCAGTGTTGATTGAATCTCAACAAGTCCACCGCCCCACCCTTAAGTACGTTCAGATGCTAGGTGATGTAGATACTTCTCTTAAATTACCCTTGGGCCGTACATCATTTCTGCACACCGTGCGTAGTATGAAACCACCAAAGTTTCTGAAAGGCAAACCTGTTGCCAACCCAGTAGAAACGCTTGTCCAAAAATTCAAACAAGATTCTTTGCGGCTCATTGGGTTCCCTCTAGCTCTGCAGTTACTGGCCTTCAAAGCCATACCTCTGCTGCAGTTGAAGATTCCTGCCCCACCACACGAGCATACTATAATGGACCTTACTAAGGGAGATCTACCTAGCCATGGGTCGATCGACCTTAACGATGTTCTTAACGTTGAAAAAAATCCATCTGTAAGTGTGGAATATTCTCTTTTACATTATTTAAGCTTTCTTTCGCTTTGGAGATTGTGTCTTACGTGTTCTCTGTTTCTGCAGCTGTGTGACAGCAATCATCCCGATCGTCAAAGGACCCCAATCTGGTTGGGGCATATGGCGAGACGAGAATACAGACGATAAAGTGACATACATGGAGCAGCTGATAGCTAACAACCACCGATTTACTAAAGCTATGTGGCCTGGAGGTGACTGTTCAGAGCCTTTACACATAGTGACTCCACTAGAAGAACAACATGTCCACAAGAAACATATTGTATCAAGGAAATGAAAGGAGTCAAATCTCAAACCCAAGAAAGCTGCAAAGCGACAACACACTACTAAAGTCTCTAGGCGTGTCACCCCATTGTCTACTTGCTCAACCTCAACCCCAACCTCCTCCCAAACCAACGATCTGTTGGAAGCCAAAGTCACCGCATTGGAAGCTAGAGTCACCACACTAGAAGCTTCCAATGCGCGCATGAAACTAATTCTGAAACGCAAACGGAGACGGTCCACATCTGCTTCCAGATTACCACACTTTGCTGGAAAGCATCGTCGCTTCTCCTCTCTGAAAACCCCCCTAATATTGACCCCCCCCCCCCCCCCCAAGAAACTCATGCGTCTCCAAAAGATATCAGTGACCAAAGCAACAAGGTAACCATCACTACATAGGCAAGGGAACATGATTTATATACTTTTTCATATGTTTTTCTCACCTCTTTTTTCTCTCACACAGGATGACCAGACGAAAGATGACAGCTTTCGGGTTTCTGAAGCTCCTATTCTTAGCCAATATCGGGTCTAGCATTGCTCAACTCTACGAAGTGATCCACCAACTCCTGACCACCACTCACCTGACCACCACTCATCTGATCAACACTGCCCATCTGACCACAAGTCTCCAAACCATAGTTCAGACAACCACAACGCTTCTGACCTTAGCCCGCCTGCTAGCCACGACTTCAGAGTTCCTGACCACAACAATAATGGTGACCAACCCGCGATTGACCTTAACCTGTCTGACCACAACTTCGTATACCACACTCCCCCTCCCTTTATGACCACCAACCACACGACATCAATTCAGGAGGCTGCACAGCTTGATGTCATCTTTCATAATCACAAAGCTAATTGGAGTCCCTCACAACACCATTTGTTTAGCCCTTCACAACATGAATCTCCTATAGCCACTTTACCCCAGTTTGACCCCACACCTCTTAACAATCTAACCACACAAACCTTGCCTAATCACAGTCCAACAACATAAGAAGCAGATACAACTATGCTCGTCTACGATTCCTCAGCAACACCACGACCATTGCCCCCCCCCCCGGCCTGCTGTGACTACAACTATGCTCATCAACTCACCCAACAAAGGTTCCCCACAAGGTTTTTCACCCCACTCCTCTACAACCAATGCTTTCGCTGCAGTCGCTATTCTTAAAGGGTCCAGTAGTACGTTCCAGCCTACACCTTCCAGTTTGAATGAGGAGGTAATTTAGATCTTTATTATTGCATGAACTCTCTTAATTGGGTGGACCATTTTTATTATCTTTATTATCTCTTCTCTACTTGGTTCAGGCAAAATGAATCGAGGACGTCGGAGTACAACTAAGTGATTCCTACCCAGACAAGAAAATCCAAAATATTATCGATGAAGTTAATGTATGTCTTACACAAACTGTTCACGATGAAGTTAACATATGCTTCCTAACCAATCTATATTGGATGTTATTTTTGCAGACACAAACGAGTGATCCCAGTGTCTGTGAACTCAGTGATTCCTCGCCAGCCAAAAAAACAAAAATCATATACACCATCTGACGAGGAAAAAACCCTAGCAGAAGCACTCATGAAATGCCGGGATTTTCCCCATTTCATGCTTATATCATCTCCTCCAGAGGAACTGTGGAACCTCTTCTCAACAACTCTGCGTTCTCAAAAAGAAATGTGTAAGTTCTGAAGAACTTATCCTTTCTTAGCAACGAATTTTCAACTCTACTAATATGTTTGTCTTTCCCATGTCCCAGCAAACACGTTACACCTTCTAAACTCGATTTCTCCAATGAAGACCTTCTCAAACTAGCCACTCCTAGACAATGGTCAGACACACTGGGGTTATTTATTTTTTAATATTACCTCTCTCTCTCTCTCTCTCTCTCTCTTATTTGTTTCTCAAGCTCTAACAATGTCTACAAATTCCCCCTAGCACATGACTGCACTTATGCACATGCCTGGAGAACGCCACAAAGACGTACTTCTTATGAAAAACTCTTCATTCGCGCCTCCTTATTTGACTTCATCGATGCAGTCCAAACAGCGACAATTCCAAGCTTCACTCAATAAAGACAAGATCCGTTGGGATCCCCGGCTTACCAAACTGATTCTACTTCCTGGCCAGAACTGGATGAAAGTCGTGCATACTGTCTACACTCCTATGATCTGGGCTGATAGGCATTGGGTGGGTCTAGCTATCAACCTCCTTAAGGGACATGTCGAAGTACTCGATCCACTGCCCAACTTGTACAGCGATATCAAGGTTCAAGGCTTCCTCAAACCAGTTCTTGACATGCTCCCCTACCTTATCCGTTTTGTGGCAAATGACAATTCTCGTGTTCTATTACCTTTTACATGAAGACGCATCCCTGACTTCTACCAAAACCTTAGGTCCGGTGACTGCGGGCCTGTCAACATCAAGTTCATGAAAATGCACCTTTTATACTGACCCATACCCACACA